GGGGGTTTTACAAAATAAGATTGCATAGCATGGGTAAAGAGGAAGTCTGACCAAGTCAAAAACATGCACAGCAAGGAAAGCACCACCATATCACAACTACCAAAAATGCTTCCCACTCTTCCCTTTCAAATATTTCAAATGTTGTACCGTTCAAATGAAAGAAGAAAAACGACGTCGCTGGGTTGTAAACCAGGGCCCTATCGACTCAAATCCGACTCGTACGGCACAGTCACGCAAAAGCTGCATCTTCTTTCGTATGTCTCTCTTTTCTTTTAACCTTTCCCTTTTCCATAAATCTTTGAATCTTCACTGCAATTGTGCGTACTCAAGTTATTAGCTTAAAACTTTAATTCCCGTTAATTTAGTCTTCCATGGTTTTACTTATACCACTTTACACGATAAATTCATATATGAACATCGTACTCATGTTTATAGAGTTTTTTATAGATAAATGATTAATGAATAACATAATTAGTTTGAGCCTCTTAGTATAAAAAGGGCATTTTTCTCCAAACTCATTTTCACTAATGCCAGAGTAATCTGTTGCAAGATGAGATCCCACATGTACAACAAAAGCACTAGAAGTACAAGGGTGTTGAACAGAGTTCAATCTTTTATGTGAAAACATTATCTGATTATTGTAATATGACAAAAAGATTAAAACCATTGACTTATATGTAAAAAAAAAGATTATTGTAATATATATATAGCGATATGCATTACATGGAGGGTTATGGATCTTGAAGCCTACATAGTTTGTGCAGAGTACCATCTGGCCATTACAATGAAATTTTCACCCCCCCCCCCCCCAACACAAGATGCATCCCACTTATTATACAAACAAAAATGGAGGGAAACTCCCCTGTTCTACCCCCTATGTGCTGCTTGATCTTCTTTATCAGGCACCCAAAACAAAATACGCCTAAGGACATAATCGTCATTAACACTTGATATTCTAATAGACTAAGCTGAAAGAAAATTAAACATCACTTATTGCCTTTCTTCTGATTACCAGGAACCATTTCCTTGTAATTCAGACATTTTGTTTTCCACAAAACTGACTTTGGATATTATATCACTGGACTATCTATTTTTCTACTTGCAATCCTTCCTAAAACCAAAAGGAAATTAACCTAAAGACCATTTCCTGATAAACTAATAATAAAGAACGTCAGTACGTCCATTCCTGAGGAAGGCGTACTTCAAGATTCATTGTTCCTTCTTGTTGTAGATTTCTCCTCTGTTGTGCAAGCAATGCATTACTCCTAGCCATTAATATTTCTGCACAACAATATCATTGCAATATTAATACCTTACAATGAGTAGGATGCATAAATTAATTTAAGACTGAAATTCACTTGTTACAGCATCTATGCATACCATATTCGGAAACAAATCCAGCATTGAACCGTAGCGGTTGAGGATGAGCATGAGGCTGAGATTGAGGCTGGTGCTGGGGTTGAGAAGGAATGCCATTTAAGCCATCAATGTTCTTATTCAAAGACTCAACAACCCTAGCAGGAAGCCAAGCAGTGGAACACCCTGCATATGCAGCAGAGGCAGAAAGCAGAGCATTTATTACAATTTGTTTCTTTGTAAAACAGAGCATATATTTACCAAAGCAGACAATAAAACCAGATTTATTTTCTGAAACATGAATATTCACTAACAGGAATGTCATTAAGCGACAATGAAAAGTTACTGCCAATTTAATTTTTTGAATTAAAAAGAACTTGTAATATCTGTCAAACTCAGGATAGAAAAACAAAAGACAAAAGCCAGTATACTGTAGGGAAAAATACATGCCAATGCAGCAACAAGTCATAAAGCAATAAAGCACCAAACTCCTTTATTTCTCTTAATTTCTGGCATTTTCTATAGTAGCCGAAAGGGTGTTTTAAGAGTGGAAAATAAAATAAAAAACCAGCTCAGATTCAACGAGGAACAAGGACAAAACTGCAGAAAAAGAAACTGCAATGTGGCAGCTCCGACTTGACAGCTACGGGACCTAGGGGAAAAAGCCTGCATTTCTTTATTTTATTGGACGAGTTATTTCATTTTTCCATTATATTAAACTTTAAAAACATCAGTAAATATGAATAGTCAAAAGCAAATTGCTTTACTTTCCTGAGTTCAGCTTTTTCAGTAGCAACACACTAGGCAAACATTGAGATTATACCACTAATCTCAGAAAATGACAAAATACAAAAGCAAATTAAAATTCAAAAATATTTGAAAATGAACAGCTGGAACAGAGACGAAGTACCTGGTTTCTTGCGATAATCAGAAGAATTCTGGCTACAATATCTCCTAGGCAGAAAAACGCCAGTGCCAGCACACTCCCTCTTCTTGTTAACGCCACCGTTACCAGATCCACCAATGTGACCCACCCGCATACCCGACCCAGATTGGCCTTGGTACTGATTTTGCTGCTCAAATGGCAGACCAGCCCATCCTGTTTGACCCGAGTCAGCGACTACCCTTCCGCACCTGTTGCCTTCCCCAAAACCTCCAACTCCAAATCCCGATCTTAAACCTCTATTTTGACAGACAGGCTGCTCGTTAAACCATCCATTCTTCACTTGCCTATTCAACATGGCACTGCTCTGTTGCCTCGCCATTTGCTCTCTTCTGGCTTGCTCAAACTACAGAAGATAAAATTAGTAATTAGACAAAACTTGACCACTGAGGTTACACTGAAACTAACACAAAAAATTGCATACACAAATGAAAAGGGAATAGCATACATGAGTATTATTACTGAAGCAAGAGTTGGGGGTTTCCATGGGGGCTGAAGGCTGGACCGGATGATGGACGCCTCGAGGCGGTCCGGGAAGTCCTTGATTTCGGGCGGGTCCAAACCCGCCATGCATCTTCATCCTTGCAACTTGGCCCGCTGCTTGGTATATAAGATTCCAAGCGTCATTTTGAGCACCAAGCGGCGAAGTTGGGGGAGAAGACATCTGAGAAGGCCCGTTGGGGCTACCATTGCTAGACCCGGAGCTCCGACCCGACCAGCTTCCAATTTGAGCGAGGGTTGACTGGGGTGAACCAGAGTGCACCCAATTTTTCTGAGTCACAGCAAAGTCCAAAAAGTTAGAAATATAACAGAAATAAGTTTGTAAATATTTGTAGGAAGCACATACCTCGACTTGATGCTGAGGAAGGTTTGAGTTAAGAGATGTGCGAGTTAACTGACGAGTTAACCCAGCAAGAGCGTCTTCCTCATCGCTTTCTGTCTCAGTGGAACCAACAAAAGACTCAACTGGAGAACCCAACGCCGAAGGACCAAAATCATAAGGGAAGTCAGTGGGGAAACAGAGATTCAAGTCTGAGAAATCATTCTTCCGTCCCTCCGTCTTCTTCAAGTTCCCATGTCCCATGAGTATTTCGTCGTCCGTTAGGAACTCAGAAGGCAACCAAAACTCTGGTTCTTGAAAGTTACAAGCCATGGCAGAAATCAAAAAAGAACAAAGTGGTTGGAGGGAGAAAAAAGATTTTTAAGTTAGAAGATATGAGTAGTACAAGAGGTTGCTGGTTGAAGAAGATATAATAATGAAGTGTGGGGTATTTTAGGATTATGAGAGGGGGGCCCAAAGGCAAAGGGAGAAAAGAGGAAAACAGGGAAAGAAGTGGAGGAATGTTGAGGACAGTAGAAGGTTGCTTTTATTAAGGTTTCAGGGTTATTTTGAGACACGCATTCAAAAATCAAATGGCGTTTTCTTGGATTTGCTTTAGGCCTTTGGCCTCCTTGCTTTATTTATTCCTTTTTCCCAATTTCTAAGCACTGTTACTACGGAGTATGTTGAGGACAGTAGAAGGTTGCTTTATTTAAGGGTAGTGAGGTGGGCCCATTTAGAGGGGGTTTAAGGAAAAAAGTTACCCTTAATTCATGCAATTAATGGGGAACAGTAGCAATTACATTTGTCCTTTCTCATGCAAATTTGTTGCCACCTGGCGTATACCACGCACTGCAATGGTAACTACAGTTACCACTTCAATCGCTTTGGATTACGTTCCACCATTTTCTATCAATGTTTTTTTAACAGAAAAATGGCAAAATGGTTTAAATACTAAGCGCTCGTTTCGACATAACAATTTTTTCACTTTTTTTTAAATTACTGTTTGATAATAAAAATTTTAATTTTTATTTGAAGATAAAATTATTGTATTTTTTGAAAATTTAAAAAACTCTAAAAAGTTATTTTTCAAACTTTTCACTCAGATTATTCACAAAAATTCAAACACAAACCAAAAGTATATTAATATCCAAATATAATTCTAATTTTAAAAAGTTTACTTTTTTTTTTAATTTTATAATTCTTATGTCCAAACGCGCACTAAGTTCATTTATTTTATCCAAAAAGAGGGAACAAAATATTAGCATAAAGTTCTAACGTTCATCCTTAATTTGAAAGAGAAAGGGGGGAAATGGTTTCACCCTATTGACATATACTAAACGATATTAGTTTACATAATTAAAATTAAAATGAAAATATGGACATATATTATATTCACCGCTATTGATCGTTTGTATAGTCATGACTCATGACTCATGAGAAAAACTCTAACTAGCCTTTGCCACTACTAACAACTCAAGAATAAACCATTATCGGCATTCTGAATTCCTTTTTATTTCTTGCTTTCACCCATTCTCATTTTGTTACGTAACTGATATTTTGCCAAGTGTCAATTAATTTACCCTCCAAGTAAAAGCTAATTTCATCATTCAAAAAGGCTCGGCCTTAACCACCGAAATTTATCAAATTTATTTAATATTAAAGCATAAAAGAATGAATCCCACAACACAATTGAATTTCCATTTTTTTCCCCTCTGCATATTTGGTACTCTGGTGATTCTTCATCAGCTATAACTAACTGCAAAAACACTCTCTGTGGTCCATTTAAATGAGTTTTTGGCCCTTTTTTGTGATTCATAATATTTAATTTTTTTAAATATCAAGTAGAATTAAATTTTTTTTCAAAGTTGCCATAAGAGTAAAGAGTCTAAGAATATTTATTATATTTTCAATAAACAAATTAAGATTAATATAGTCAATTATATTATTAATTAATACAAAAAATTAAATTTCTTAATATATACAAAAACAGCTAAAAAATTACTTAAAGTGAACCAAAGCCAGTATATATTAACCTTGTGAGTGGTCCCTAAGGAAAAGATAAACACAACACTCATTAGGACATATGCAAACATCATGGCCTGTTTATTATTCTCTTGATTATGAGTAGGGATTAGAAGGTCAAACAATCTACACCTTGTTGATTCAAAACGGATACCAATTCTCAGTAGGACAATATTACTCTTTATTTGGCAAATAGTAGATTTTAGCTTAGCCATCGATCCATGGGCGGAGCTAGGAGCTAAAGGTGATTCTGATAAATTTTCTTCATCGATAAAATTATACTACTGTTTACTACTGTATATATATAAATTTTATTTTCTCTATATATATAGATGACATACGTGTCGTTTATGACCCTCCAATTGCGGCGAATGACTCATTACTCCATGTTGATTGTGTTCTCCAACATCACTTTCACTATGAGAAGTGCAAATCGGAAACTGTTTCAAAGGCAGATTAAAATAGCATATTCACAATGAAAGCCCCGAAAAGATAAGTTTTAGAGAAGATAATCAAAGAAAAATGAAGATGATCAAATGCTGGAAGATGTAGGCCAATATCAAAGGCTCATTGGGAAGTTGCTGTATCTGACCATGTCCAGGCCAGATATTGCATTCTCAGTCCAAACCCTCAGTCAATTTATGCAGCAACCAAAGAGATCTCATTGGGAAGCAGCTATAAGAGTAGTGAGATACATTAAAAGGGAACCAGGATTGGAAATCCTACTGAAGAGCCAGAGTTCATGTAAAATCAATATTTTCTGTGATGCTGATTGGGCCTCATGTCCTAATACTGGGAAATCAGTATCAGGTTACTTAATCAAACTTGGAGAATCACCAGTGTCATGGAAATCAAAGAAGCAAAACACAGTTTCAAAAAGTTCAGCTGAAGCTGAATACAGAAGCATGGCAAGTGCAGTTTCAGAAGTGGTCTGGCTGACAACATTACTGAAAGAATTGGGAGCAGAAGTGGAGCTACCAGTATATGTGCACAGTGACATTCTCAAATTCAGTTCCATGATCAGACCTAATTGATGCAAGTTGATTACCTAGTTGTTTTTGAGTTTTTCTAACAAAAGAAGTAAACATGTCAAATGCTTCATCTTTAGATGTTAAAAACAATGTCCAAGTAAACCTAGAGTAATCATCAACAAGCACCATCACATATCTTTTACCACCTATGCTTAATGTTCTCATTGGACCACAGAGATCCATATGGACCAGTTCCATCGTTCTGGTGCTGCTTACCACTTTCTTGCATTTAAAAGAGGATCTTACCTGCTTCCCCCTTGCACAAGCCTCACAAACTTTGTCTTCCTTGAACTTGATGATAGGCAGCCCTATCACCAGATCCTTGGAGACTAATTTGTTGAGTTGACTCAGACTTGCATGTCCAAGTCTCTTGTGCCAAAGGAGGGGATCATTGTCCAACACACTTAAGCAAGTGAGTTCATTTTCTGAAAGTGTGGACAGATCTACAATGTAAATATTTGTTTACTCTTTTTCCCTGCAAAACAATCTTGTCAGTGGTAAGATTTATCACAAAACATTTGGTAGAGGTGAATGCTACCAAGTTACCTCTATCACATAATTGTGATACACTGATTAGACTGTACTTTAGGCCATCTATCAAGTAGACATTCTTAATAGAGTGAGAATCAGTCTTACCTACCTTTCCAACCCCAATGATCTCACCTTTATTCCCATTTCTAAAGGAGACACCTCCTTTGAGGTCCTCAAGTGAAAGGAACTGGTTCTTGCTTCCTCTCATATGATTTGAACAGCCACTATCCATGTACCATATTTGGCTGCTCCCCTTCACTTGGACCCTCAAAAGGAAATCAGGGGTTAGTCTTAGGAACCCAAACTAGTTTGGGTCCCTTTCTATAAGCAAAAGGGTGAATCAAATTCTTTTTAGCCCAACTTGGCAGCCTATTTTTCCCTTGAACAAATTCTTTATTCTTTTGACTAGCCTTTTCTTTTGCAATACATTCACTTTTATAGTGATCATTTTTACCAGAGTGTGTGCAAATTTTGTTCTCAGGAAGTGTGAGGTACTTGCTTTTGGGATCCCACTTAGGTGCAGGGGTCCCATAGACAAGTCCTCTCTTAGTGCTACTATGGTGTTCATGTAGCCATGAAAGTGCATCGGATGACCTATTCCATTTACAGGTTCTATCTAGCTCGTGCTTGACCTTGTTTAGATCCTCATTAAGGACTCTTATCTGCTCATCTCTTTTGTACAACTCATCTTTTATTTTTCCTACATTTTCTTCTAATGTGAGTTGTGTGTGATCAGATTTCTTTTTACCAGTTCCTAATTTCAATTTTAGATTTTCAGATTTAAGCTCTAGGACTGTGGTGTCAAGTTCATGAACCTGGTTCTTCAACTTAGCATTTTTACTATCACTTTCACTAGCCCTAAGTTCCAGGTTTTTGCACTTAGCTTTCAGAATCACACATTCCTTAGACAACTGTTCCTTTTCATTGTTTATAACCTCAAATTCATCAATGAAATCTAGAAGTAATTCAGATAGACTTTCTTTAGACAAAAACTTAATCTTGTCTTTGAGATGAATTATACTTACCTCAGATTCCTCATCGGATTCTCCAATTGCCATAAGTGCTTGTTCATCTCCATCTTCATCTTCTGAGTCATCATCTGAGCTTTCACCCCAAGCAGCAACCATAGACTTTGTTAATCCTTTGTTCTTCTTGGGATGAACTTGTTCCGTCGTTCAGCTCTTTCCTTCTTCCATTCAATTTCCCATTGAGGGCAATTTTTGATGTGGTGATCAGTCTTCCCACACTTGTAACACCCCTCATTGGTTTGTTTTTCAGGAACCCTTGGTTTGTTGTAGCTTCCACTTCTTGAAGGACCATTTCCTCTCATTAGGTACTTCTTGAAATCCTTTGTGATCATGGTCATTTCATCCTCCTCTAGATCAGCACCTTCAGTGATTCTGAATGCCATGCTCCTTTCCTTATTGGGTGCATCCATCTTCATGGTTTGCCTTCTGAGTTCATAGGCAGTGAGATTTTCAATTAGCTCATCCAACTTAAGAGTGGCAATGTTCTTTGATTCCTGAATAGCTGTGATTTTGCTTTCCCAAGAGATTGGCAGTACCCTTGTCAAAATCTTCTCAACTTTGTCTTCTTCAAGAATAACCCTTCCAAGAGTCATAAGTTCATTTGTCAGTGTGGTGAACCTTGTATACATCTCTTGGGTGGTTTCCCCTTCCTTCATGGTGAAATTCTCATATTGAGAATACAGTCGTGTTCCTCTGGACCTCTTCACTTGAGGTGTTCCTTCATGAGCCACTTGCAAAGTGTCCCAGATTTCCTTAGCAGTGGTACAAATTTGAATTCTACTGTACTCGTCTGGACCAAGTCCACACACAAGCCATTTCTTGGCCTTTGCATTCTTTTCCCACTTCCTCAAGTCCTCAGCATTGCAGTCAACTCTTGTTTTTGGCACATCCACTCCTTCCTCATTCTTCTTTGTAGTTTCCAAAGGACCATCAGTGACTATGTCCCAGAGTTCACAGTCCTCTCATATGATATGATCTCTCATCCTGTTTTTCCACCAAGA